GAACTAAGACTTAAAAGTGCTTAGAACTGTTACTACTTCTTGTAGTCTACACTGAAATGCAGCAAAGGATCATGGTCTATGTAGTTCCCTCTGTCTTTTTTTTAGCTGTTGCTGCACCATAACTCTTAATTTAAACAAAGAGACTTGTAATTCGATATATTGTGATGGTCCATGATATTATTGTGAGAACTTTGACGATACGATATCACGATATTTCGGTTATTGTTACATCCCTATTATCTACAGATCTGACCTGTAACTTAGTTCGGTAGTGTTGCCTGCTTGACTCCATGGAAAGACACGTTTAATGCCATACTATGGGACATTACAGTTATCATCACATTTCCATTGAGACGAGCGGATGACCTTCCACCAGAAAAGTTACACAGAACACCTTAAAATAACGTCTTAAAATAACACCTTAAAAAATACTACATACTGTATCAGCTATTTTTGCTACATGCATAACCCCATACATCTTACTTCATATATTTGACGTCTTAAGTCTGTATATAAAAAGTAAAACGTAATAAACATAGAAAAAAATACTGAATGAAATGGTGCGTCCAAACTTTTGACCAGCAGTGTTCATTTTTCTTCAAAGTTCTTTTTTTTTTTCTTATTCGAGCTGGTATCGGAAATAATTATCGTGAATACTATTTACAAGAAAAATTATTAGTGTGTAAACATTTTCCTCAGATAAATTACAACAGTAAAAGCAATGCTAAATATTGGACACGTCACCGCACGCTTCGTCAAAACAGGCTACCAGCAAAAAAGATAAGACACGTAGCAGAATCCCCTTCAAATCATGTTTTAAATTCTGTATACAAAAATAGTGCTAAATATTACACATTATCATCGCCCGCCAGACATGTTTTGCTTTACTTTTTGGATAAAACTTGACACATTTACTGGCAACCCACCACCAAACATGTGAAGCCTGTTTCCTAATAACAAAAACTCACTGGCCTAGGTTTTGGGGTGATAAAATGTTTTAAATAGATAAACCGACGGCGAGCAAAATAGTTCCAAAAGCGAAAAGTTGAAAAATCCATTCTTTCACGCAGTTACTACTCCAGTGATAGTATCGCCATGGAAACAGAGGTACCGTGGAGGGAAAAGGATGTGTGGTCAGGTTAAGTAGCAGAGGCGGTTTTGGCCGAAAGAGAGTAAATACAATTTGGTAATTTCATTTGAAAACCTTAGGAGAGGAGACACAATTTTGAGCATGTAATTAACTAAAAATTTGTTGGACACTGAAACATGGTAGAAAATTGGTATAAAGTAGATTCCAAAAGTAAAACTACTGTAGAGTGAATGTATGTTGAAAGAGGGAGTATTATACTTCTAGGGTTATTTATTGTTATCATGTTAGCGTTTATTGTTTTGAAAATGCTATATTCGCCGAAAACAATGTATTAATAGTTTCAGTTTCGTTTTTGATGCTCTGAGCCCGCCTCCCCTTGCTCCCCCTTCATCACAATCACATGCATTCTTCTACTGAAACGACAGCACATTGCATCAGGTTTGTGAAGTTGTGGTATAATGTTTTGTATCCGAATTTTGTATATTTATGGAAAATTGTTGTCTGAGTTTTGTACAGGCTCATACTGCTAATTGTATGAAGGGTTTTGGGGCTTAGGAGAGATTGCTAGATTACTCAAACATGCCTGGATGACATATAAAACCATTTCAGGCATGTATTTGCTGAGGGAACGTTATAACATGGCAGAACGCTCCGAAAAGTTGATTTTGCATTATACTCTCTCTCCTCTTTAAATATACTAATTACTTTGTGATTAATTGTCACTGAAAATCCACCGTAATTATTTTGCCACTAGAAAGTAAATGTGCAACCAAAACACTACTTAGGCTATCAAAAGCAGACCATGTACCACCACACCACAGTTTGGGAACCATTGCTTTAAGACCTTTAAGGAGATGTACTCGATTTGTGTGTGTGTTAGAAAAGAACATTTGTTTTTCTCCAGTACCGGTATATTACAGTTCTTAGGGCGTAATAAGAATCACCCACGATCCAGGAAGTGCACCGTTAGCATGATAGTTGCTAGTTTTACTGCTCTAGCCTCTGAAAGCGTTTGTAAACTTGGATGGTTTAGGAAAGTGAGGAATAACTTTGTACAACTGTAAACTGTTAAAGGTGGATTGTGTAACTTTTCTGGTGGAGGGTCCGTCCAGTGCTCGTCTCCATGGAGATGTATTTGCTTTTAAGCCTTTCTAACCTTGTATTAAACCTTTCTATCTTCATGGAGACCAAACCAGACCAACTCACAGGTCAGATCTGCGAAGAGGCAAGCCTGCTCAGAGTCAGAATTCTTGTTTTTCTAGGTATTTTTACGCTATAAAACCACCTGTAACTTAATAAATGTAAGGTGGATATGATTAATGTTATACTGTGGAACATTCTAAGCAAAGCAATGGCATATCCATAGAAACAAGCAGGTGACGGACCCCCAACCAAAAAGCTACACAGTGCACCTTAAAATAAACAAGTTCCGGTTTTCATTTTTAAGACGGTACCTTATAAATCAGGTATTACATCTTTAACATCATAACGAATCAAAAATTACCAACTACGCCTGACCAAGCTAGCCAAAAGAAGTGTATTTTATCCGTATAGTTCCATTTTTATGTTTATCTTTTCTCTCCTTTCTATTAAATCCCAGCTATCTTCCAAACTGTGTACTTTAGCTTCCCGTTGACTCCCTGGTGTAGCGCAGAGCAGATGCAGAGCTACTGTAGCGTATGGAACCAGGCGCTTGGCAATGAAAAGCACCTCTGTCTGCTCTCAAAACAACCAAACGCATGAATAATGAACAGGGAACACGCTCGCTAATGCAATCATTCACTCCACCGCCATGTTTACCGTATGCTGACGTTAATTGCTAATTGCCCAACCAAAACCGCATTTGGATTGTACTATCACCTTGTTATTCGTGTATGGAAACAAGCTGGAGGATTTGTTTTTTGTGTGAGGAGAAAGGGCAGGAGAAGACGTGGGTAGTACGCGGTTATGTTTAGTTACCTTTACTTGAGTAACTTTGAAGGAATTGCACTTCTCAGAGTACTTTTGTAGAAAGAACAGTACTCACAGTGAGAAGCGTAACCAGGGCAGAATACACGGAGTCTGCTGTCCCCTGGGATCCAAGTTTTTTTTTGGCTCAAAATACGACCCTCTTCTGATTAATTTATATTAGAGGGGGGGCACATGTAAGGTTTCTTGCCCCGGGCCCCCAAATTTATGTCAACGGGCTTAAGAGTTCCCAATACTTTTACTCAAGTAAGGGGTCTGTTGTCCCTGGACCCAGGGTTTTAGGGGCTCAAAGTTGGACCCTCTGCCGATTAATTTATATTAAAGGGGGCCCATGTAAAGTTTCTTGCCCCAGGCCCCCAAATTTATGTCAGCGGGCCTGAGAGTAACTAATACTTTTACTCAATTAAGGGGTCTGTTGTCCTGGGATCTAGGGTTTTATTGACTCAAAGTTGGACCCTCTGACGATTAATTTATATTAGAGGGGGGCCCATGTAAAGTTTCTTGCCCCAGGCCCCCAAATTTCTGTCAACGGGCCTGAGAATAACTAATATTTTTACTCAAGTAAGTCTACAAGTGACAAATGCTTTATGTTGACAATGTGAAATGATTTGAATGTTTGTGTTTCTTGCTCCGCTCCTTCAGATATAATTTTGTTTTTCTCATTTTTGTGTTTATCCATCCAGATTTTGAGCATTATTTGTTCCAGTTACAGACAGCTACTCTTTAAGATACTCTTACTTGAGTAGTCATTTTCACAAATACTATTTTACTCATAATTTTCTCATAATTTCTTGGACTACTTCCACTATATTATTTTAAAGTATAGTTACTCTTAATTTAGTAGGAGTTTTCCAAAATACTTTTCTACTTTTACCTAAGTAATTACTTGGACCACTACTGTACTTGAGTAATATCATTTTGAAGTAACATTACTCTTTCTTGAGTAGTCGTTTTCCCAAATATTTTTTTTATTATTAATTTCTCGGACTACTACACTGTACTTCTACTTGAATGTTACTTTTACTTGAGTAGTAGTCTTCCCAAATACTATACAGTTTCTCATCATTTCTAATAAAACTCTGCACTTCTACTTGAGTAATATTATTTTGAAGTAACTTTACTCTTTACTTGAGTAGTAGTCTTTCCCAAATACTTTTTTACTCTTAATTTGTTATAATTTCTTGAACTACTAATTTGTACTTTTTCTTGAGTGATATTATTCTGAAGTAACGTTACACTTATTAAAGTACAGTTTGTGGCTCCTCTCTCCACTTCTAGACAGGAGCGGTGCATGCTGGGATACACTTGTTGATGGGAGCGTATAGAGACATTTAGGGCAGTGCTCGTTGGCAGTAGCCCGTGGCAGTGCAGGGAGCTGGCTCAGTACCACAGGGGGAGGGCATCTGTGTAAAGCTGAAGCAGGAGCGGGAGATGGAACACACCCACAGGCGCTGGTGAGATAAATGGGTGAAGTTGGATTATGCTCGCGGACGTTGCATATGTTATGGAGGAGACAGATTCAGGATAGCGCTGAGGCCAAGTCTGTGTTCATGTCATTCTCAAAACACATCTTGTATTTTATGGGTTTCAGGCTGTGGGAACGGTTCTCTGTGCTCTCTGGAGCATTTAAGCAATTCAAATCAAAATGTTATAGGTTTGGAATGGGGAAAGGTTCTCTATGGATCCTCACAAAGTCCTTCAAATCAGAAAGGAACTGTTGGTCTGAAAATCATGAACTCATATTTTTGTTTTTAAATTGTGTTTGACCGTACGTATTTTAGAAGCGGTTTTAAGGTGAGGAAAATTTTCTGGTCTCTGTATGAAAATGTGTCCTCTGTGTTTGAGCCAAACCATTATATGACTATTCTGATTCGCTCATTGGAAAAATTATGTACCGTATTTTTCGGACTATAAGTTGCACTTTTTTTCATGGTTTGGGTGGTCCTGTAACTTATACTCCAGTGCAACTTATATATTAAAATTTTCACACTGACAGCCGCGAGAGGCTCTACACTTGTGTGTCAGTATCTGCTACTCTGTTTACTCCTGTACAACTGTCACTTCGCTCTACGCTGCGCATGTCTCCTGCAGAAAGAGCCTCTGTCCTGCCTTGGATCACGTTAACCATTACTCCACCATTACTTCTGTACCACAGAACATTAAAAATTTAAGTGACTTCAGTGACAACCGAAACAATCTTGTTGAGATTTAGAAAGGCCGGAATAATTCTAACTGGAACTGATGCTGAGTCTGACGACAGCTACACAGAAGAGGAAGCGGCGCTGTGTTTACTTCCGAAGGTCATGGAGTTGCTTGGAAGTGACACAGAGGATGAAGAATTCAATGGATTTAGTGATTTGGAGTGAGATGGAGAGTTTGGTAAACTTGTTCTCTTCTGTTGTTTATGATGTGATGTTATCTGAAGAACTGTTCATGTGACGTTAACAGGCCTGTTGTTCTCTGTTCTGTTGTTATTACTATACTATAACTTGCCTTTTAAGGCCTTTCTGATTTTATAAAATAAATTTCTCCTACAGTATTAGTGAAACCAATATTTTATATTTTGTGATCCCTTTAACTCACAAAGTTGAATTCATTTTCATTTTCTACCATCATGTTTTTTTTGTTTGTTTGTTTGTTTTTGTTTTGGTGCTGTTGTGTTGTCTTAAAGGTGCATTATGTAACTTTTTCTGATGGTGGGTCTGCTTATCACAATGGAGATGCTATGGCTTAACCCAGAATGTTCCACAGTTTGGCATTTACTTTTCTATCATGCATGTATTTGATCACAGTTGCTTTAATTCTTTTTTTTTTTTTTTACTGTAAGTGAGGTATCCAAACCACAGATCTGCCCTGTACCTTGGCCTGTTGGTGTTACCTGCTTGTCTCAGTGAAGGTTGACGCTGTAGAGTGAAACTTTCTAACTTTCTAAGCAATAACATCTCCATGGAAACAAGAAAGAGGCAAACTCACCACCAGAAAAGTTACCTAATGCATATTTAATACTAATGGTACAGGTTGAGTTTGGGGATTTTTTGAAGATTTTATAACTATTACTTTATAACTATTTCAATTTACCTTCATAACCTTCACTTCTGTGCCCTATTCAAACATTCTAAGAAATTCACAAAAAACAACGGAAAAAACATGATCCCTTTGTGAACCTGACTGCAGCCACGTCCACGTTTGCTGTAAATAAATTAAAAGAGTGGAGAACATTTTAAAAACCTGCTGTTGATTCACGGTCATTACATCAAGTGCTCTCTTTGTGCTTTTTGCAGAAACATGATTAGTTCTAATAGCGTACAGAAAATAAAAGTTAACCTTAGGCCAACAAAGCATTCAAATGGAAGTCCAATTTTCAACTGTCCGGATGGGTCAGGTGGGTTTGCTCTGTACGACTGGGCTCTGTGTTATTTAGAAATTTTATAGTACGTTTTTCAGTCCCTCCTTTTCCTCTTCCTCTTCTGTTTCTTTAAGGTGATGATGACTTAGATCGATCCACTCTCAACGCTTTCTCCATTGCCCTGAAAGACACAAAACAAAACAAAATGCTATAATATTAAGGATGTAACAATAAACAAAATATAATGCATATAAAGTTATCATGGACCATCAGAATACTGGATATCGAAGTCAATGACCTTTTCCTTTTTTTTTTTTTTAAACACACAAACCCTGAATATTTAGGCTGGTTCTTCTCTTAAACTGAAAACCTTGTGATGTCATGTGGTTATACAGAACATGCTCCATTGTGTTTTTACACTCCATATACTTTCACGAGAATCACTTTGATGATTTCAGATTTGGAATTGCCAATCTCTACTGACCTAAAGTGAAATAGTTCATCATCATCGCATAGGCGGTGTTTGCGGGATGGGGGGGGGGGGGGGTGTCACTGACCCCCCAGTGGCTGAAAAATGTCATGAGATTGAGTCTATATATTGCCAATACAAAAATTAACTAAAAAAAAAAAGAAAGTTAAATATGTCAATAAAACAAAAGGATTGTATGAAATAAATATGAATCCTAGAACCAGGTCTAAAACAGGACTAAACCAGGACTGAACCAGGACTAAACTAGGTCTAAACCAGAACAAATCTTGAGACTCTGCGCCAGTCCTTTCTCCCACGGTCACCCAACAATCTACGTGAGTGCAACTCTGGGCCCATCCTCACACTCAGTTCTGGTTTAATCCTGTTTTAATCCTGGTCCAGTCCTGGTCCCTCATGTCTCAGGTCACTATAGGACAGTTCTGCAGATATCATGAGCCTATGCAGGTAGTTTTCACCATTGCCAATAGCTCTGGTTTGACATTTAAGTTGTTTTAAGTTTTATATTTGTTATTTTTTTATATCTCACGTTGGGAGAAGTGGGTGGATGGCGTTGGCGTACCCCCCACGTACCACGCCCACTACACTCCTGATCATGTGTGATGTGCTGTGTAGTTTGGCTTTATGGGAGGCTTATGAACACTACTGTTGTATGTGTAATAGCATTATAACTATTCTGTGTAATATCACAGAATAGTTATAATGCACAGCTGTGTGGACAGTAAAGCGATCATTTCATTCTCCAGGGCAAGGTGTTTCCTTACTGTGTACATGGCAATACGCACTTTAAATCTTGAATCTAGTGCCCTGATGTGAAAATGTTTGCCCCCCCCAAAAAAAATCAAGCGCAAAAATCAAACTCTGATTATGAATGAATGAAATTAAAAGTAAATGTGATCTTTGCCACCAATATTTTCTTCAAAGCAGTGCGTCTATACAGTGGGCGACAGTAACTCATTTGGTAGAGTGTTTGTCCACCGTTTCGAAGGTTGGTGGTTCGAATCCAGCTCGTCGACATAAAAAAAAAAAAAACATCATTGGTTGAGCAGCTGACATTGTGTCCTTGGGCAAGACACATAACCTACCTGCGTACACTGGTGTGTGAATGGGTGAGAGGTTCCTTGTTGTAAAGTGCTTTGAGTGCTTTGAAGGTGGAAAAGCTCTGTATAAAAATATGAAAATTAACCATATATTTTGTATTCATATTCAGGCAAAGTCTATTTTTATTTACCACCTTATTTTTCACGCATGCCTTTATTTTACCATAGTTTATATCTTGTTTTATGTCGCACCATATTGCCGAAGCTGCTGAAGTTCTACGTTTGTAAATTTTCGATGGCGTGGCAATAAAACTTATTTATATACAACTGTAAATTTAACTGTTTCTGATGTCACTTTTTAATAAGACTATCAAAGTATTTCCAAGGAGAATAGGAGTGTCTGGGGGTACACAGGCAGTTTACAGGGGGTACTTGGAATGATTTCAGATTTAAAAGAAAAATGGAACTGAATAGTGTTCGGATCTAAAATGTTCTAATCTATTTTACATGCTTCATAATGTCTGAGTAGGATCATTTTGGCATAAATATATCCTAAATAAAACAGGCAAATAGAATAGATGTTATTGGCTATAATATTGAAAAAAAACAAAAAACAAAACACTGTTATACGGTTACCCAGTATATGGTGTACTCAAGAGTGTGAGACAACGCTTTGGAGGTATGCAAGATAAAAAAAGGAGTTGAGAACCACTGGACCAGACAGTACGAATGGAAATAGAAAAGCAATGAAGCAAAAGAGGTGGCTGTATTTTTACACATCCATCATAAAAATACTAAATATTATATATATTTTAAGTTTGCAAACTTTACAACAACTTTATTACAATTTGTGGCACTCAATATAAGTCTTAAAATAATTCAACATCTCTAAATATATGTTATTTGTGACAACGGCAAGAAAAATATTAAATATACAGTATGTGGCCATTAGAGAGTTTTGAGCTTTAAACCGTGCTATAATCTTGTTCCCTCACTAAAAACATACTCAGAGTTTTGTTCACTCATTGTATATTTGAATAATACTGCATATTAAAAGTACATGTATTTGAGCAAAAAGTGTTTTGCCCCAGTACAGATTTATTGTATAAACAGCTCTAGAGGTAGGGGCTGTGTCAAAAATCGAAAGAGCGAAAGATTGATAGATCGCGGTTTCTACTTTGGTTGATCTTGATGATAAGGCATATGTATTTTAATCGAAAGGTCCACAGTCAGTCGTGTGGCAGTAAGAGCGCACAGTGCTGACGAGGATTTACGCTCACAGTCGCAGCGTGTCTCTTTGTCTCCTCACATGTTCACAAGTTTTGACTTAAATCTACACAATATGACTAAAAGTCTAGTGTCTCTCTCCCTCTGTCTCTGTGTGTACGTCTGAACTGTGTGTGTATGTCTAAACTGTGTGTGTGTGTCTGCCTCTGTGTGTACGTCTAAACTGTGTGTGTACGTCTGAACTCTGTGAGTATGTCTGAACTGTGTGTGTCTAAACTCTGTGTGTGTGTCTGCCTCTGTGTGTACGTCTGAACTGTGTGAGTACGTCTGCCTCTGTATGTACATCTGAACTGTGTATGTGCGTCTGCCTCTGTATGTACATCTGAACTGTGTATGTGCGTCTGCCTCTGTGTGTGTATGTCTGTACTGTGTTTGTGCATCTGCGCTGTGTGAGTACGTCTGAACTGCGTGTACGTCTGAACTGTGTATGTGTGTGTGTGTGTGCGTCTGAACTGTGTTTGTGCATCTGAACTGTGTGAGTACATCTGAACTGTGTGAGTACGTCTGAGTGTGTGTGTGAGTCTGAACTGTGTGTGTGAGTCTGCCTCTGTGTGTACATATGAACTGTGTGTGTGCATCTCCCTCTGTGTGTACGTCTAAACTGTGTCTGTGCGTCTGAACTGTGTGTGTATGTCTGAACTGTGTATGTATGTCTGAACTGTGTGTGTATGTATGTCTGAACTGTGTATGTATGTCTGAACTGTGTATGTCTGTGTATGTATGTCTGAACTGTGTATGTATGTCTGAACTGTGTATGTATGTCTGAACTGTGTATGTATGTCTGAATTGTGTCTGTGCGTCTGAAATGTGTATGTATGTCTGAACTGTGTGTGTGCGTCTGCCTCTGTGTGCACGTCTGAACTGTGTGTGCACGTCTAAACTGTGTGTGCACGTCTAAACTGTGTGTGCACGTCTAAACTGTGTGTGCACGTCTAAACTGTGTGTGTACGTCTGAAACTGTGTGTGCACGTCTAAACTGTGTGTGTACGTCTGAACTGTGTGTGTACGTCCAAGTTGTGTGTGTGCATCTGCCTCTGAGTGTGCGGTGCTGTTTGCCTCTGTGTGTGCGCCTGCCTCTCTGTGTGTGTGCGCCTGCCTCTTTGTGTGTGTGCGTCTGCCTCTGTGTGTGCGTCTGATTCTGTGTGTGTGGTGCCGTCTGCTCCGGTCTCTCTTCCTCTCTCAGATCCAGCTCTTCACCTTTTCTCCTCTTTCTCTCCTCTTATGCTTCTCATCTTTATAATCCAAGTTATGGAAAGTAAACAACTATATTCTCATCGTTTTTGAGTGACATGTAAGACCTCGATATTTTTTTTATATTGTACAAACTCATTCCAAACTTTGTGGATGTGGATTTCTCCAGATTTTTTGGTCCTATCAACACAAAATAAAAACTGTAGTGATTCTAACTCCCTGCTCTTTATTCCTGAACTATGTCTGTCTATGTTTTTAATCAGATGGAAGAAGATCAAATCAAAAGTCGAGATCGATCAATATGGGAGAAAAAAAAATTCTGATTATTTTTTTCCCATATTGCCCAGTTCTGTTTAGAAGTCAAAATAAGTCGTCATGTGCGTATAAACTCATCATGGCGAACAATTAGAATGCTCAGAATGCACAGTAAGTGAGGAATAACTTTGGACCACTGCAAACTGTTTACAACCAACTAGTTCTGTTTTTCACATTTTAAAACAGTAAATGAGGTAGGCTACAGCTCTCAAAATACAGATTCAATATTGTATTTACCATAGATATTCCCCGGACTGTGTGCAAACTTACAAAATAATGTATGTGTTTACTGTATTTTAGCTGTCAGTCCTAGTCCGATAAGCCGGAGTGTACTTGGAATCGTCATGAATTAGATATAGAACAAAACTTCACCAGGGTTTACAGCAGCCAGCAACTGTGTCAAAACATACCACCAGACTTACTGCTCTTATTACTGAGTTGTTTTTTTTTTAGAATTAAGTTAACTTCAACCATGTAAATGCACCGCAGCAACAGAACAATCAGCCTCTTCAGACTCTCATTTACCTTCTATGGAAAATCTGCGTAGAAGTTGAGAGAATATCTGAAGGGAATGGCTGGGGAGAGGAAGAATATAAGCAACACAACAACTTTAAAAAATATGTTGTCCTAAAAAGCCTTTCGCCATAAGCCTCGTAGAATACTAATTGTAATTTTCCAAGGTTTGCTGCTTTAGGCAAGAAGATGACTTGAGCGATTTGTGTTTTTTTGGTTGCAAAAATCTTTCGGATCTGCAGCAGAGTTCTGGAGAGTAAAATGAGACAGACAACTGAAACTGGACAAAAAATTCAAGGGTGCAGGTTTGCATAGGGACGGTGGGGACATGTCACAACTAATATTTGG